GGAATTATTTTCTTTTTTAAATATTATTTAATTTTATTTATTAAAAATGTTTACATGGATGTTTACATGGTTGGTTAGGATGGGAAGGATTGAGGGTTAGGGGAAAGTAGGTGAGACCATTGTTTCCAAGTTTTCTTTTTCTTCCTCCTCTATCTGGTGGAAGGAGGGAGATAAGGGGAGAAGCTGCACCCAGCCTCCCAATCGCCTCAGTAACCAGGGATGGGGAATGACCCAGGGTCCCTGATGTGGAGCTCCAAGCGTTCTGCTTGAATGGTTTCAATAGGTTTGAAATGCTGCCGATCTCATAGATCCAAGGATGAGGAAATCCTTCCAAGGTCACTGGCTGACAGTCCACCTTGGAGTCTTCATTCACCCAGTTATTTGCTGTCAACACCTGGCTGGAATAGTTGACCAATTCATTCTGCCCTCCTTCCTCTGCTATGATACTCGGTGTCCTCTGCAAGCACCAACCAACAGCCATATCCTCCTGTGCATCTGGGCATGCCACCCACTGCTCTATCTTAGCCACTGAGGAAGCCCAGTTCTGACAGATGTGCCCTGCGGTCAGCAAGTACCGCAGCCTTGTTGATGGAAGTCCCTCTGAAATCATTCCTCACCTGCAACATACTCCCTCTGCAGTTCTCCCTCCCACACATTCCTTGCACCTTTTCCTGATCAATCCATAGTGCCTGCACCTGAGAGTGCATGGAGCCCTTGGCTCCAAATACCCGCCACATGAAGAAGGAGAAAGAGGAAGAGGAGGAGGAGAAAGAAGGAAGGAGAAGGAAGAAGAAGATGGTGGTGACGATGATGAGGATGATGATTAAGTGAATATGCTGGCACAGTGATATAGTTAACACAAATTTGGCATTAACCAGGCCCAGGATGGCCACCAGCTATTGGCTGCTTTTCTCCCAGCAGTGTAACAGTTGCCTAGATACAAGGCAACCTAGGCCATTGCCTATAGCTGGGGATAGAATGTTTTTCTATGTGTCTGCTTCCCTGCCAAGTTTATAAGCTTCTTGAGGGCAGGGAAATTATGTTCCAGCATATTGAGGTGTCCCAGTGCCTAGGGAAGGCAGGTCATGTGTGCACAGCTAGGCTTCTTTGCTTGCTTCTCTTCTCTGCTTGATATGACAGACATTAGTTTAGTGGAATGCAGTGCTTTCTACATAAACATACAGAGGTCAGCACAGACTGCAGCAGAACCAGAGGTGGGCTTGACTTCGCCCATATGGATCATGGATGGTGGATAGAATGAGACAGACAAAAAGGGGAAGGAGCCTGCTAAAAAAAAAAAAAAAAAAAAAAAAAAGCCAGAGGGATGTGTGTGTGAGAGAGAGAAAGTCAAGAGCGGCAGAGAGAGAGAACGAATTGAGGAGGAAGAATTTGTAGTACCAAGAGCAGTTGAGTGTAACTAAAGAAATTTTCAATGCTAACCAATGGAGGTGAGGGGGAGTCTGGAGCCATGGAAGATCCAAATCTCACCTCTGCCATTTACCACCTATCCAACCAGGGAAACCACTTCATCCCTAGAGCCTTATTACATCCTCCTCTGCTAATGGGATAACAATAGCACTTAGCTTTGGGGGCTCCTATGATAATTAAATGACTTAATACTTGCAAAGCACTTAGGTCAGTGCCTGTCATGTAGTATTTACTCAATAAAGACAGCTGTTAATTATAACCCTCAGTCACTTGCCCTCACTTTGTGCTTTCATTTCACTCTGCACAAGTCTTATCAATTCTACCACGGAAGTAAATACCTAAGTCATCACTTGTATCTCTACAAGGTCCACCCTGGGTCAGGAAACTACAGCTTCTTTGTTGAATTCTTGGTATAACTTCCCAACTGTTCTCTCGACTGCCATTCTTGCTCTGCCACATTCTGATATACAGAGCAGCCAAAGTGGTCATTTTCAAGCTAAATCAGAAGTTACTCTGCTTAACATGTATTTGTCATCTCAAAGTACATCTTATCAATCATTTAGAATGATCTTTCTCATGACCCAAAATATTTTAAATAATGTGGCTCCTTCATACCTGTTTACATGACAGGCCTGTCTCTTCTATGTTTTCAATGCTAGTTGTCACAAACTTGACAAATTTTGCTGGCTAGGAACTTTGTACCTGTCATTCACTCTATGTCCTCCATCCCTTCATTTGTTTGCCTCTTCCCTGACTTGTCCAGCCCAGAGGAATCATGAGAGGAGTTGATTTTATTTTTAGAGATCAGGTGAGTAACAGCCTCCATGGTTTCTATTATGTTGCTTTGATAAATTTATTTCCTTTTGTTTTCCTTCATGCCTTTCCTCCTCCAAGATATACGCAATCAGAACGGATAGATGGCCTGCCTTTTTCATTGCTGTATTTCCACTGCCTATAACAGCAAAATTGTTTCTCAACATCGTAGGTACCCCAATATTTAACTGATCCTGTATACAAAAGGGGAGAATCTTGCTAAAGCTGAAGGCACTGTGGCCCATTCATTTTGCAGTAATCCAGTTAGAAATCATTGGGCCCTCACAGTTGTTTTCATTGTTTTACTATTTATTGGAATCAACTGTTCATTGTATTTTGTTGTTTCTAATACTGATGTCTGAGCATTAGCAATCTCAGTGATTCTGATTTAAATGGCAGGTGCAATGTGACATCAGATTTTTTAACTTTCCAGGGGTCTCAGTTTGCAGCCAAGGTTGAAAATGGTGCCTCCTCAGAGGGGGATACAAAAGGGCAATTCAAAAGTCGGTGGGAGATGGAATTCAAAGACAATGTACATTTTCCATGTATTTTATTTTTATCTCATTATTTTTTTTAAAGAGCGATCTCACAGAGGCGAGCACAGATACTTAGGGGGTATATAAAAGGCACTTAATGGTTGCTGTAGTTTGAATTGGATATTGCTCCAAAATTCAAGTACATGCTAAATCCCCAAGGCATATATTGATGATACTAAGGCGATGGGGGCATATTGAATCCAATTGTTTTAGGAGGTGGGTGTGGTATGGGCCTGTGGAAGACAGTTGTTGTGAGCGAAGTAAAGCCTCCGTTGGGCCTAGCCACCCTCTCTGCTTCTGGGACTATAATGTTATCATTTCTTGCACAGGCTTGCCCACTGTTATGTTCTCATCTGACCAGGCAGCTGAACCAATCAGTGGATCCACTCATTCTGAGACTGTGCACCACCGAAACCCTGCACCAAAATGAACTTCTTTCTTTCCTAAATAGCTTGGGCTAGATATTTATTACAATACATGTAGAAATGTATGATAATAACAAAGAGCTCTCCCAAAGAGTGTCTAATGAGGATTTTGATGTAATAGGGACTGCCTGGGAAGCAGGCTAGATTTCCAGCGTGGGTCTCAGGGAATGAGAGGTAAGCGTCAGGGTAAACTGCAGGCGAGGCTGAGTTCGGGGTAGCTGTGGGGTGTGTGTGGGATGTCCTGCACGTATGTGTTTCCTCACAGATGGATGTTGGCCTATTCCAGAGTAGGAAGGGTCTCTTGATTTTTCAGGAAGAAAGGCTGGAAGAGGCAGCTCTCCGAAAATACCGCACATTTGTACAGGGTGCAAGAGCATCCTCATTCTGCAGCATTCTCAAAACATTTCTGTGCTGAAGTGTTGTTTCACATACCAATATATTATGACTACTGATCCATTAATGCATTATTATTACATTGCCTGTAAGCTTAAAGTATTCCTTAGATTAAACTGATGCCTGCCTTCAAATAGCATTTACAGATATATGTGTATGTGTGTATATATAGTATATGTGTGTATATATACACACATACACATATCAGTTTGAAAATATTTGATGATTGAAAATAAACCCATAATTACTTCCTTTAAAATTAATGTTCCAAGATACTTAAACCTCAGTCGCTTAGCCTGTTCAGTTTTCTAATTGGTAAACATTACTGGGTTACCTAAGATACCAAGTACAGTCGGAAAGACCATGGCTCCCTGGTTTGTTTCTAATTTCAATTAAACATACTAAAACGAGAATCCAACGGCTGGTATATTTAGTTAAGTAACAGATGGCAAGCGCACAGTCCGTCCAGCATCTATTGCATTCACTTCTCAATCCTTTGCAAAAAGAGAGATCTAAATTTTGAAGACAAATAAGCTAGGAGGAAATGGGGTCAGGCCCTGACTTTTACTCATTCAACTCTGAAGGACTTATACCAAGTCTTGTGTGAGCGTGAGTGGCTTAAAAGAGAGGTGATGGACCAGTTAAAGTAAAAAAAAATCAGATATCAAGAAGGACCGAAATGCAGATTCTTGAGCCTGCATACGACTTGGTGAAGTACCACAATCTGGTATGAAAGAGCTGAGTGGGAGAGGCTCCACACCCTCTCCGCAGGCTGTCACTTGGTCCAGTGCTGCCCCCGGCTGCCCCCGGCTGCCCCCGGCTGCAGCGGCGGCGCAGGCTAAGGTCCATTACACCTGCGGAAGCCCTGGGCGCTGCCCGACTCTCCCAGGTGCTGCCAATCAAGCAGGTAAACCGCAAGGGCACAAAAGAATAAATTACGCCCTGCGAAAAGCCCATAGTCAGCATGCTCCACAAGACAGCCCCAGCCCCCACCTGTCCCTGCGAGGGACGCGGCCACGCAGGAGGACAGGGGAAGACACCGCCCCACAGCCCAGGCCAGCTCGGGGCCAAGTCCCGCACGCGGCAGGGACGACGACTGCCCCGCGCAGCGGAGGAGCGTGGCTGGGAGCGAAGGACGGCAGTGGAGGACCGGGCCGCCAGGGAGCGGGCAGCGCGAGGCTGCGCCCGCGTCCCAGAGCCGCCCGCGGCGGGCAGGGAGGTGGGCGTGACGCCATGACGCACGGCACGTGGGTGGCGCGCCGAGGCGGGGTGGGGCCGGGCGGCTGGGGGCGGCGGCGGCGAGAGAGGAAGGAGTGGGGGGAAGGAGGCGGGGAAAGCGGGGGCTGAGGGAGGGGGAATGGCAGTTGTGGTGCTGGTTTCCCCCGGCAGCCTTCGAGACAGAACTGCCGAAGAGGTCTGGGAAGCGGCCGCCGAGACCTAGTCCCTCGGTTCACCACCCCGCTCCCCGCCGCCACCGCCCCAGCGGAGGGGCGCCGCTTTGGGGTCTGAGGAACGGATCCCACCCCACCCCCGTCACACACCACACACACACGGCATTTCCTCGGGTTCCTGCCGCCGCTCTGGGGAAGATGGGCCTGTTCGCCAGCAGCCCTGCGCCGCCGCGGCTCTGAGGAGTTGAAGGTACGGCGGGGCACCCGGGAGCAGGGCACCCCAGAAAAGGGCAGGGCGGCTCCTGTTTCCGACCCAAAGAGCTCCTGTCTCCCGCCTCCTCCCGGGGACGAAAAATGGATTCTGAATTCTGGGGTGAGGGGGTTGGTGGTGTGTGTGCCGGGGGAGGGGCAGCGGTTTAGGGGGTACCGTGCGACTTCCCGGAGCGCGGCGGGGAGCCCCCTGGCCCCGGGTTGGGGTGGCTCGGGCCTCGGGTTGGGGTGCCGGTCGAGGACTCCGGACTGGCCCTGGGTTCGTCGCGCGGGCCGGGGCGGAGCCCCCTCGGGTAAAGCTGTAGGAGCCGGCGCCCGGTCGGGCAATGTTGTGACTGCCGGGGCGGCGCTCCCCCCGGCAAAGTCCCTGTAGCTGGCGAGACCTGAGGGCGGCTGCCCCGGCGAGGCGGCGGGGGCGGAGCGCATTCCTGACGGGTGAAATCGGCTCTAACGGGACCGGTTTTCGGGCCTCGCTGCAGATTCGGGGGGCTGGGTCACCTCCCATCCCTCTCCACCCTCCCCCAATGGCTAGGAGCTGGCTGTTGGGAAGGGCTGCCATGTACTAGGGAAGATGGGTTCGTCCGAGCAAACTACATTTACCACCCATCCCCGCCTTCAAAAATACAAAATTACCCACCCACAAAACCTGATGTGGCTTTGGGGGAGTCTTCTGGGGTTGTTTATACACCCCGTGAACGTTCTCTTCAGGGTGTTCCCAAGCCCTCGCCCAGCCAAGCAATGCCAGTGTTTTGCATTTCCCGTGTTTAATCATCTGGATTCTACTCTGCTCTCGCCCCACCCCTCCACCCCTCTTTCCATTCATGGACACAGGAAAAAGCAGTTTAGGGTTCGATCACCTCGAGTGAAGGGCAGTAAGTTAAGGAAGGGAAGAGGGTTGGTTGGTCAGGGCGAGGTATGCGGGAAAGAGGACGGTTGGGTGTTTTGCCATTGGGTGGAAATATACGAATGATCCTTTCCTACTTAATATTGACTGTTCAAAATGTGGCGTGTTGTGAGGCTGACGTTGTTTCGGAAAGACGGCTTTTAAGTGCCTGCTGCAATTTGCAAACCCAGGTGCTGGCTGCAAATGTAGGCCTTAAGTGCTAGGAACCGGCCTCTGCCCTGATCGTCTGCTTTAAAATGTTTGTGATCTTTGTTTTCCTTTCTTTTTTTTCTTTTGTAGGAACATGGCTGTCTGTCTTTTGTTTTCTTTGCTGGTTTTCTTTTTTAACCTAGATTCACGGACCGTTTCGACAGTACGAAACTTGACGCTATATGCCCAAGTTTTCAGGTTTTCTTTAACCATGTCAGTACACACGTTAATCATTTCTCTTTATAATTCAAGCTGTTACCGCGGCTTAACACTGAACCTGCTGAATTATGTTAAAATGCAAATATTTTTCTCCATGTAGAAAATGGCGATGATCTTATGTTTAAATGTTCTTTTTCCTTGCTACATGTAATTCCTTGATAAGGATTTAGAATTAAAATTCTTGGGAATTAAATAAAAACAGATTATGCAAAAAAGAATAAATCCCTCTGTAAACTGTTAGTTTTTTTTTTTATTCTGCTTGTTAATTTTACCGTACAGATATAACTGACGTTTCAAATTTCCAGTGTTCATTCATGGAAAATATATTAGCTGTCATTGAAAGAAATTACATTTGATAACATCGAATGGGTTTTTTTTTTCAGTATCTCAGTCTTCCAGGAGAAAATAAAAAGATTAATTTTTAAAAACTGCAATACAATTTTAGGTGTTTGAAACACTGTCCAGCTTTCACTGTCCAAACAGTAGCTACTTGAAATTATTCCCTTATGTTTCAGTTGATCATTTGCATTAATGCCAAAAAATTCCACTTTATTCAGTCATTGTTGGAGCTTACTTTTTGTGATTTGTTCCCTTTTTATGTGACTTAGTGCTGCTGTATTGTATTGTACGTAACGTGAGGGACAGGAAGATTTGTGTTCTGCAATACTTCAGCGCTTTAGTGAAAAGTGCTCTGCCCAGATTTGAGCACTGGGGGAGTCCTAAGGCAGTGATTCCTGCAGTTCCGACTAGACCCTTAAGGTCTTCCCTCCTTAGCAGGTTCACATTGGAACCTGCTACAGAGTTGCTGCGGAGTTGGTCCGTGGAATTCAACATAGGTAAGGAGAGGCATAGTTTTTGTTTTTTCTTGTTTTGAATATTTGGAAGAGGAAATTGTGAAACTGTTCTATTTTAATTTTAAGCACTTAAGTTGATCACAGAAAGTCTTTTATTTGTAATCATTTCTCATTCCTTTTCTGTTTTAACCTAGAGGATACTGATGATTGAGAAATGTGGTTTTCTGAAATTTCCAAGGGGAAGAAAAAAAGGCAGACTATCTGCAATGACACGAAAGTCCCTGGATAGGTGCTGGGCAAGCGAGGACGCAGGGAATAAACGTGGAGCATTTACATGTGGATTGCTCACTTCTGTCTGCCTTACTCAGGTTGTGCAGTGAATCTTAGAAAACTAATTTTTTCTGATGGCAGTAACAAGTGACAATTGATTGTCAGTTGCAGGTGGCTTCATTCTAAGCTTACGCTCTTTTATCCACGCTCCCTTTTAAAATTTTTTGTATAGGTTCCAAAATATTAGCTATTTGGGCTGACGGCCAAAGTAAAGCTGAATTTCTAAATGTATATTTGATTGCATGTTGGGTTGTATTTGGCACAACCCAAAGTAGCAGTTTGGTGAGTGGAAGGAACCAGGATCCTAGATAAAGTGCTCTAGAGTAAATGAAGTCCCTGTTTTGACTCATGTTTAGCAAAGTGTTAATGTGATTACTAGTGGAGAATAGTTGAATTTTCCTTATCCGGGCAGTTTTCTTCTCTAGGAGTAACTATTTTTTATTGATCTTTTAAAATATTTTTAACTCTTAACATGTCAGTTCTTTGTTAACTGACTGCAGATGCATGACATAAAATAGCGTGTGCATAGCCACACCTGCACAGCTGCAGACTGAGGGTGAGGTTTGCTAAACACATCTGTGTTTCAGCTGGCAGTTGTAGGGGAAAAGACAGTGAAGTCATTTGAGGGTCCAAAACTTGCATACCTCTTTTATTTCTCAGCAGCTATCATATGTCAGTGATACTTTCCAGTAAAAATGGGAAAAATGAGCACATTCTGATAGTCATTTCTATTTGTATTACTCTGAGGTTGTCAGTAATACCTGATGACTTTGTATAGGTAATATATATTTTTAAGCCATGCCATTACCCCTAAAACCATTAGATAGTTTTATTCCATTGATACTAGCTAATGTATTAGAAGTCCTGTTCAGGAAGGTTCCGTTATGTGAAAATTTCAGAAAGAACTGATGAGGAATTACTTTAATCTTATTTGTGCATTAAATTATGAAGCAGAATTCTGTTCAAAAATCTTCTCTCTCCCTTTTTTTTTAACCCCAAAAGAAACTTCAAAATTGAACCTTTGCTCCACAACACTGTGATTGTTCCCTTAAAACTGTGTTGTACTTAACATTTGCATCCTCTGTCCTCCTCTGGGGACCCCAGGAGTTAGAAATAGCCCTGTCACAAAGTGAATTGCAGCAGGTTGTCCATTGAACAGACACTTTGATAAAGGTGAGCTAGAAGGAAGGAGCAAACTAGTTCCAAGAAACAGTGGAAGCTTGGGAATGTGTTAGTGGTAGGTGTCAAGATTAACGTATATCCTAGTATAAATTGTCGTAGAGTGGATGATGATCATTAATATGAATCTGCTTGTGAGTTTCATAGTATTGCCGTTTGGCCTCGTAAATTACTATGCTTGCCTGAAAATGAGATATGTAAAAGTGCAGAAATGATGCAGGCTCAATGATGGCAGGACCCATTGTTTGGCTCACTCTAAAGATCTTAGCAGTTAGCCAAAAGCCTGACTACAGTAGGTGTTGAGTAAGTATTAGCTGATTGAATAAAGAACCTATGCTGTCTGATACCTATTTCATAACTTTCTACAGCAGCGCTGTCCAATAGAAATGCAACATGAGACACAAATGCAAGGTTTTCTGTACCACAGTAAGAATAAAAAGAATGAATAAGATTAATTTTTCTAATATGTTGTATTTAACTCACATTAACATTATTTCAACACACACACTAATGAATAACTTTACATTGTTCATATACTGAACAGTGTAGCTATAGGCACATTTTATGTGACGTATTTGCACAGAAAATCTTTGCGTTTTTGACAGTCCTTTTCCTAGTCTTTTTTTTTTTTTTTAGAGGCCAAATACAGCATTGTCTGTGTCATTGAACTAGAATTACAGAGTTGAATTGAAAATCAGGCTACCTGTCCATGTCTTATAGTGCTCTCAGAGTGACTTTGCCTCACTTGTTCACTTTTTATAAAATGAGTGAGTGAGTGAGTGTATGCTGTTGTCTGTTCCATTGGGTTAGTATGAATTAATTATGCATTTGAAACATTCTGAACTACCTGGCCAAGACTGTTATGAAAGAGATCTCTTTTATTAGTAGTAACTTAGCAAAGCTCAGTATAAAAAGGAAATCCATTGAGACAACTGTGCATGGAGTGTCCCGTTACCTACCACATTGCAGTCAGTTACAATGAAGAAATCAATACAAGGTGCTCTTGTAATTTATAGAATCAAGAGAGGATGGTTTGAGCACCAATTCTGAAGCCTCTCATCTATTTTTTTTAAGCATCTTTTTTTTTCTTAATATTTTTTTTTTTTTTTAATTTGAAAGATTTGCAGAGAGAAGAAATGGAGAGCTTGTACCTGCTGGTTCATTTTGCAAACAGCTGCAGCATCCATATGGGATGCCAGCACCTCAGGCAGAGGCTTAAGCAACTAGGCCACAGCACTGCCTCCCATCTCATATTTTTTGCTTTGCTCATCCCCTTCAGCCACATTCCTGCTACCGCTTACTTTGGATGTTTTTTTCCTGGATTTCCTCAGGGCTAACTCCCTTACCTCCTACACACCTTTGTTT